AGGAGGATTTTATTTAGGGACGATTTTAAGTATAATTTTAATTGGAACACAGCCTCTAATATTTGGTTTTTAATTTGGTTTTAGAAGGGTTTTATTTTTGTATATTGTTATTGTATCTGTTTTTAATATGCTGTGCACCGCCCTGAGTCCTGCGGGAGAAGGGCGGTATAGAAATTAAATAATAATAATAATAATAATATGTCTCTATCATCTCTCTCTCTATCAATCTCTGTACCTATCTATCTATCTATCTATCTATCTATCTATCTATCTATCTATCTATCTATCTATCTATCTATCTATCTATCTATCTATCTATCTAATCTATCTATCTATCTATCTATGTCTTATCATCCTCTATGTCTCTATCATCTCTCTCTCTATCAATCTCTGTACCTATCTATCTATCTATCTATCTATCTATCTATCTATCTATCTATCTATCTATCTATCTATCTATCTATCTATCTATCTCTATCATCTATCTCTATCATCTCTCTCTCTCTGTCTGTCTCTCTCATCTACTATCTCTCTCTCTCTCTAAATTCACTCGTTGCCCTCACCACAACGCAGCCAGCAAAGATACGGCAAGCATTTGTCATATGGCAGTACACAAGCAGACACACAAGGCAGGAGACATCAGATCCACAGAGGAAATCCTTCAATTCTCCTGGGCCAAACGAGGGAGCAAACTTACCTTCCTTTGCTTCCCCAGAGCCTTGAGTAAAAAGGAGCTGATACTGCTTGTTGGGAAAGTTGACCGGGAAAAACTTATTCATCATGGGGCTGAAACGAGATGGGAGGAAGAGGAAGGAAAAGGGAGAAAGGGAAGGAGATGTCGTTTTAAAAGGCATAACTGACAAACAGCAACTGTATGCAAGGAAAATCAAAATCCCACAGAAATACGTTTATAAAATTAACTCAAGGAATACCAAATAGTCAGAGCAGTATTTTTCAATCTCAGGCACTTTAAGGTGTGGGGACTTCAACTCCCAGAATTCCCCAGCCAGCATACAAATAAACTTTCAGATGGGTGGACTTCAACTCCCAGTATTCCTTAGTCAGCGTGATAAAGTGGCCGAGGTTGTGAAACTTGGAAATGTGAAGCCCTGCGACGATGCTGTAAGCCTTGAGTTTATTTAGCTATTATTTATTCATTAAGAAAATGTAAAATCTAAAAGCACTGATATGGAAGCCTAGTTGGCAAAGGAAGAAAGCCAGAATAAGGTTGAAGAAAATTGGGGTTTTGACATTAGAGGGGATGTCATATTATTAATTAGAGGGTTAAAGGGAGAAGTTGAGATAAGGGGAATTCTGGTCGTTAGATTTAAAATACTTGGAAATTAGTTGAAAATAAAAACTTTGTCTGCTTAATATTTAAAAATTGTTTGATTTATTGATTAACCCAGGTAATATACATAACGGTTTTGATTTATTAAAGGGGATATTGTATTATTAAATAGATGATTTAATATGGTGGGAAATAGATAACTTTTAGGAAATAGAACAAGATTACATTCAAATAGATAAAATGCGTATTTTGGATATTATATTTTGTTATGAATTGAGATAAGGGAAATCTTGGTTATCTAAAGCCTGAAAATTATAAATATCAAAGGTTAAATTGGAATATTGATGAGAAACTAAAAACTGGGAAGAAAAAAATTAATAACAGGATATTGATTGTTTATGAAGATTGAATGTAATTAAGATATGTATAAGCTAAAAATTGATTGATAAATGTAATAATGATATTTTTTACTAAGTTGATATAATAAGAACTGTATTAGCTTGAATACGAGACAGTAAATGTTAAGGGAAAAAGAGAAGAAATATCTGATGTTGTAACCTGACATTTGTACTAAAGATTTTGTTATGGGACTATTGATTAACCCAGTCACCGCGTTGCTTTTTAAATACGTAAATGTAAAATTGGAAAATTAATATTATTTTTAAAAAAAGAAAATGTATATGGTTGCCCAAGTCACTGAGGGTGACTCTGGGGCAGGTTAAGAGAAATAAAATCCCAAGTACAGGTAAGTCCTCGGCTTACGACCGTGACTGAGCCCAGAACTTATGCCGCTAAGCGAAAAATTTGTTAAGTGAATTTTGTCCCATTTTACAACCTTTCTTGCCACCTTTGTTAAGTGAATCGCTGCAGTTGTTAAATTAGTCGCACGGTCGTTAAGTGAAACTGGCCGCCCCATTGACTTTGCTCATCGGAAGAGCGCAAAAGCGAGATCGCATGACCCCGAGACGCTACAAACCGTCGTAAGTATGAGTCAGTGGCCAAGCGTCCAAATTTTGATCAGGTGACCCTGGGGAGGCTGCAATGGCTGTAAGTCTGAAAAATCGGTCCTAAGTCGCTTTTTTCAGTGCTGTTGTAACTTTGAATGGTCACTAAACGAACTGTTGTAAGTCGAGGACAACCTGTATGAACCCCATGAAACTCATGTCCTAGTGACATCAAACCAGCCAACTTCCAGATGTTGTGGATGCTCCAACACTGGAAGTTATTAAGAAAAGACTGGACAACCATTTGTCCGAAATGGTATAGGGTTTCCTGCCTGAGCAGGGGGTTGGACTAGACTAGGGGTAGGCAACCTTGGCTCTTATATGACTCGTGGACTTCAACTCCCAGAATTCCTGAGCCAGCCTTCCTGAGGGGAAAGGGAGAGGTTTCCAAGCTGAGCCATGCTGGCTCAGGAATTCTGGGAGTTGAAGTCCATGAGTCACAAAAGAGCCAAGGTGGCCTACCTGAGCAGGGGGTTGAAGACCTCCAAGGTCCCTTCCAACTCTGTTATTCTATTCTATTCTATTCTGTTCTGTTGTATTCTAATTTTCTATTTTACTCTATTCAATTCCATATTTTCTTTTCTACTCTACTCTAATTTTCTATTTGATTCTAATTTTCTATTCTATTCTATTCCATTCCATTCCAATCTATTCTATTCCATTCCATATTTTCTATTCTATTCTATTCTATTCCATTTCATTCCATATTTTCTATTCTATTCTATTCTATTCCATTCCAATCTATTCTATTCCATTCCATATTTTCTATTCTATTCTATTCTATTCTATTCTATTCTATTCTATTCTATTCTATTCTATTCCATATTTTCTATTCTATTCTATTCTATTCCATTCCAATCTATTCCATTCCATATTTTCTTTTCTACTCTACTCTACTCTACTCTACTCTACTCTACTCTACTCTACTCTACTCTACTCTACTCTACCCTACCCTATCCCATCCCATCCCATCCCATCCCATCCCATTCCTATTCTATTCTTGATGGGCTCTACATCACCCGGGGGTCCCCAGCCCCCCTGGCAAAACCAGGGCCAAAAGACTATGAAGGAGGGGAGCAATTTTATCTCCACAGGGATGATGCTCCTTAAGCTACGGAGGGATTTAAAAGTGACAACCGGCACTTGGAATTGAGACCTGGAAGCTAATGGGCAGCCAATAAGCCTCGTTTCTGGAGGGATTTTGAAATTCTCCAGAAAAATCAGTGTTAGCCCCCCCACCCATAGGTTGGTGAGATCCCACAGGGGGATACAAGACTGCACACCCCAAATTCACTAATCGTATAAACAAGACCTCGCAAAATTCAGAATCAGAATAGAGCCAGAAGGGACCTGGGTGGTCATCTAGTCCAGCCCCCCGCTCAAGCAGGAAATCCTACACCATTCCAGACAAGTGACTGTCCAGGCTCTTCTTAAAAACCTCCAGTGGAGGAAGCACCCACAATGTCTGAAGGCAAGATAATCCTCCATTTTCTGGTTGTTAAGGCACGGCAATGGGCGAACCGAGCAAGCCCGCCTGAGTCTTATTTTGTCCCCTGGAGATCAAAATTAAACTTTTTAAAAACATGCCCGGCTTTTGAAGAGTCTTTTGGTTTTTTTTTAAAGGGAAAGCTGGCCTCAAAAGATGGCAGATGTTCTCATCCACCTAGATAAATATTCTTATTTTTTAAAACGAGAGAGGGAATGCAGCAGCCAGCTGGGTGCCCGTTTCCCATCTGATTAGGCAAGTTAACTATTAAACTTAGAGACTCTGCCAGGATTTTAACCTTTCCTTTATGTGCAATAATTGGCTGGGCACCTTTATTTGCAAATGATGAGAGGCCTCCAAAAGGGTTTTTTGCTTCCCTTGACTCCGAAGACTTAAATTTCTGCACTGGTGGAGAAATGAAGGAATAACCAAACCAGGTATAAATAAAAAGGGATATTCCAGGTACAGAAAACTCTACAGCAGGGGTCTTCAAAGTTGGCCCTTTTATGACTGGTGGACTTCAACTCCCAGAATTCCTCAGCCAGCGTGCCTGGCTGAGGAATTCTGGGAGTTGAAGTCCAGAAGTCATGAAAGGGCCAAGTTTGAAGACCCCTGGTTTAGGACTACATACCTGTATTACATTCTTTATGAGGGGGGAAAAAGCAGAAATCTTACCCTTGTTCTACATTTAGTGATAATTACCTATCTCCCAGCCGCGGAACCACAAAGCAGCCCACAAAAATCTGAACTAGGCCTCTATCTACTCTTTTTTTCCAGAATGTTCCTTCAACATTTCCTCAAAATACTCATACCTGCCTTATATATTCTATAGAACAGGGGTCTTCAAACTGGGCCCTTTCATGACTGGTGGACTTCAACTCCCAAAATTCCTCAGCCAGGCATGCTGGCTGAGGAATGCTGGGAGTTGAAGTCCACAAGTCATAAAAGGACCAACTTTGAAGACCCCTGGCTCTACAGGATGTGCATAATTCACTTAGTACGGGTTGTCCTTGAGTTACGACTGTAAGATAGCCTCCCTATCATGATTGTAAGTCACGACAGTCCGCACACCGTGTAACCAAACCAGTTTTTTTGCAGCCGTCGTTAAGTGGATGCAGCGGACGTTAACCGAATCAAAGGGCTGGTTTAAAAGTGCCTGTGCGTTTCAATGTATACGGGTAGTACTCCACTTACGACTGTAATAGAGGCTGACCGTTAAGGTCGCAAGTCAGGACAGCTGTAAAGTTGAGGCACCCACCTGGGACGAGCTGATTTTGTGACTTGTTTTGTGGCGGTCGTTAAGGGAAGGCGAATGCTGCAATCGTTAAGGAACCGATGGGGTGTTTCTGCTGAAAACTGGAAGTAAAGGCCAGTTTTCGGGGAGGAAAAATGGCCATAAAATGGGAACACGTGACTGCAGTGACGTAAATGGGGGGCTGACTGTAGGGCAGTGATGGCGAACCTTTTAGAGACCGAGTGCCCAAACTGCAACCCAAAACCCACTTATGCATCGTCGGGTGCCGGGTGGGTGTGGCCCATTGGGTGGGCGTGGCTGCAGTGGTAACAGCAACTGGGCTGTTCAGGCAATTCCAACTTTGCAAGATCTTTTTTTTCCCCGTGAGAAGTTGAAATTGACTGATTGATTGAACCTTTTTTTTTTTGTACACGGCGGCGGAGGCCTAAAGCGAAAAGGTTTTATAAAACCCAGCTGAAGGCCTAGGACTGGGGCGACGGTGCACGTGCCCACGGAGAGGGCTCTGAGTGCCGCCTCTGGCACCCGTGCCATAGGTTCGCCACCACTGCTGTAGGGCACCCGAAGTGCAAGTAACTACAGGGGAGGGGGCCTCAGAAGTGGGTTATAAGTACCCCCAAGGTCAGTCATAAGTCTTGTGTCCTGTTCATATTCACATATATATATATCTCGCTCGAGACAGTGAGATGGACCACATATCAATTTGTTAAATAAATTAAACAAAAATCCTGGCATTACAAGCCTTTTTGATGTTTTGCACTCACAATACATTGTTCATGTTTCTTCACGTTACCTGATGGTGTGAGACAGGGCGAGGATCCCGAGGACGAAGAAATACATGGAAAGCAGCAGGTTGATATATTCTTGAGAGAAGATCTAAGAGGCAAGACAAAAACCAGGAGAGGTGAACTTCCGGTTTCCTGACGACACAAAGGACATCATAAAAGCGCGTCACCCTTTTTATTTTTGTCATGAGCATAATCAACCAGCCAGCTCATCAAAAGCTCTTTCTTTTTCCATCAGGACATTTAAAAAAAAAATTCATTAGTTATTTGTATCCCTGCTTTATTTTTTTTTACAAATAACTCAAGTCAATGAACATCTCCAACACAAATTCTACTAACGAAAGCACCAAAGCTCCTGTTGAATGAAACAATAAAATAGAATGTAGAATAGAATAGAATAGGAATATAGAATAGAATAGGATAGGATAGGATAGGATAGGATAGGATAGGATAGGATAGGATAGGATAGGATAGGACAGGACAGAATAGAATAGAAATATAGAACAGAATAGAACAGAAATATAGAATAGAACAGAAATACAGAATAGAATAGAATAGAATAGAATAGAATAGAATAGAATAGAATAAGGAATAAGGAATAGAATAGAATAGAATATGGAATAGGATAGAATAGAATAGAATATAGAATATAGAATAGAATAGAATAGAATAGAGAATGGAATGGAATGGAATAAAACAGAATAGAATAGAGCTGGAAGGGACCTTGGAGGTCTTCTAGTCCAGCCCCCTGCTCAAGCAGGAGAACCTATACCGTCTCAGACAGGTGACTGTCCAGCCTCTTCTTAAAAACCTCCAGTGATGGAGCACCCACACTTTTTGAAGGCAAGGAGTTCTATTGGTTAATTGTCCTCACTGTTAGGAACTTTCTCCTTAATTCCAGGTTGCTTCTCTCTTTGGTCAGTTTCCATTTTTCTTACAATTTTTTTTGTAAGAGCTTTAGGAAAAAAAAAAGTTTGCTACTTCGTTTTGATGGCTTTTAAATAATCACGGGGGGGGTACACTATCGAAGGAAAATAAAAAAAAAACGTAACAAGGGCTTTTAAAAAGGTGGCAAAAACACCACGGAACAAAGAAAAAAAACAGTTATAATAATAATCAGTTTCAATTCTATATACACTTATCTAATGCAAATATTATGCCAGCATGTATCTATTTATTTCTATTATACTTATATAACTATCATGCTTTGTTTCACTTAGGAACGGTGGCAAGGGAGGTCGTAAAATGGGGCAAAACTCACTTAACAAATGTTTCTGCTAAGCGACAGAAATTTGGGGCTCAGCTGAGGACTACTGGCATAAATTTAAATTTAGT